AAAATATGACAAAAAAATCACAACTTCAAAAAAACTCGCCATGTCTCTTATGAAATACGTTGGACTGTCTACTTTGCAAAAAGGGGTCATTTGTGCGGGATATCTGTACTGTTCTGACATTTTTTTGGGCCTCAAGAAATTAGATTGGCTGTCAGTACTTCAGGATTGATCAATTTTCAAATATATCCCATAGTTTGTGAACTCTATAACTTTCCTACAGACTAAATAATAAATCTGATTTGGGTTATTTTGACCAAAGAAATGTAGCAGAATATATCTTGGCCTAAATTTATGAAGAACAATTATTTATTTGCAAACTTTTATAACAGAAACAAAGAAAAATGTGTTTTGTTTTTTTTTTTTCAAAATTTTCGTTAATTTAGCAAAAAATAAAAACCCCAGCGGTGATTAAATACCACCAAAAGAAAGCTCTAGTTGTGTGAACAAAATTATAAAAACTTAGTTTGGGTAGTGTTGCATGAGTGCACAATTGTCATTCAAAGTGTCAGAGCGCTGAAACCTGAAAACTGGCCTGGGCAGGAAGGGGGTAAAAGTGTCTGGTATTAAAGTGGTTAAAGAACAAAATACGATTGTCGTTTAAATTTAGAAGATTTTGTAACTAACGACGCATTTCTAAAAGTTCTGTCACCATTTGAACTGTTACTGAGTGTTTATGATGGGCTGTTAATTTGGAAATTTTTGTTGTCAGGGCCAAGGGTGGACTGACCATTTGGAAACTCGGGCACTGCCCGAGGGCCCGGGGTCAGTAGGGGGCCCCATGAGATGCCCCTGGTACCTTTTCATAGGCTTTTTTTGAGTTTGGGCAAGGACACAGGGGCCCCATGATCCCCTATTGCCCGGGGGCCCCTTGAGTTGTCAGTCCGCCCCTGGTCAGGGCTAATACCATTTTTTTTTTTCCTTTTTCTGTTTTGAAGCCAGATTGATAAACTTCCCACAGACCACACATTTATGGGCTTCCCAGGTGGTTAAAGGTGATATATCATCCAGAGAGTTCTCTATGAAATAAAATCAGAGAGAATTAGTAATTTGAGTCAAATTGGAGGGATCCAATAGCAATGTTGGGTTCAATCTCCAGTTGCACACCCTATGGGCAGTTTTGTGACAGTTTAGTAAAATGGATATAGGTGCACGGTCAAAAATGGTTTGTACTCCAATGTCTGCATTTTCCAAAGTACGCAAATCCCTCTGGGTGATAAACAAATAATCAGTTCTGGAGTACTTTTTGTGTACTGCCAAGTAAAATGTATAATCTCGGTCAGAGGGTTGAACAGTTCGCCAGGAGTCTATCAATGTCATAGATCCAAGTAGGGCTTTTATTTGTTTCAGTATCTTAAAAGAGATTACAGATTTGCCATTGAAGGTATCCAGGAGTGGGTCTAGAGGGATATTAAAATCACCACCCAAAAGTATACAGCAAGAAGAAAACCCCATAAGTTCATCTATTATTTTACGGCAAAACATCACATGTGCTTTATTAGCTGTTAGATGTTATCTGAACATCATGACATTTCCCTTTTGAGAAAGAGAGATCTGCCATTTGGATCTGCTAAATGCTGGGTGTATTCAAATCCTGAATCTCTTCCTATGAGAATAGAAACCCCTCTTTTCGTATAAGGGTTAGAGGCATGATATGCCAATGGAAAATAAGAAGTTGTCAATTTTGGTATGGAGTGAGCTATAAAATGAGTCTCCTGTAGAAAAACAAAAGCTGGTTTAGCCTTTTTGAGTTCCCTCAGTAATTGAGTTCTCTTTTCAGGAATATTCAAACCTTGCATGTTATGAGAAATCACTGTAGGATTTATCCCTAGAGCGGAATATGCCATGTTAGAATGCAATGGAATGGGTGATTCGTACCATACAATAACTGGAAGTAAAATAAAACAATAATTAAAAAAAGGAGAATAGAGAAGTATTCTAAGAACCGAAAAAGGCATTCCCTCAGCCGAGAGAATTGCAAATAAGATATTAGGTAGCAATCCCAGATACAAAGACATTGAGATATATTAATTTGGGTTTGCAATAGTTTATATAATGACCAAAATTGTCACTAGTTACTAAAGCACTCACTGGTGGGGGGGAGGGGTGTGAACAAATGATAGAATGCACCCGGTATACAGGGAAAAAGTGATCAAATAACTGACAAATATAACCAGAGATTTCTCCTGATAGACCCCGTCTTTTAGCAGACCATCTTATTGTGCATAAAGCCACTATAAAGATGGTTTAACAGTCAAACAAGATTGCTATTACCAAACTGATGTTGATATGATACACAATGTAGTCCCATGGTTTAGCAGCGGTGGTCACCAAGGGACTGTGTGTCAATACTTCAGTTATCAGATCAGTATTTCAAGTGCAATACAATATCATGTTGAAAGATAGACATGACTATTACAATTGAAAATACAGAAGTTGAAAACTTCACATGGGGGGGGGATTTGGGAGGGGGGAGGATGGGGGGAGTTTGGGGAAAGATATTTGAGGGGGAGGGGGGGAGAGGGGTGGGTAAAGGGAGGCAGTGGGAGGGAAGAGGAGGGTTTTGGGGGGAGGGAAAGGTGGGGGACATGTGGGGGAAGAGGGAGGGGGGAGGTAGCCTGCAAGTTTGACATGTGAATGACTTTGTCGGATCACTTCAAATAATATCAAAGTAGGCTATGATTGGGCTGGAAAATTATAGAGTAAGGAAACAAAAATCAGTAAAATAAGAGCTTTCGTTCTCCATAAATGACTCCTGTATAGGTATCATTAGGAATCGAGGCAGTATATAGAGTCTCGGTGACAACGTTAGGAGGACTGTTGATGTACTTTTTTTAATGTAATCCGGTCAAGAACAATAGTCCAGCAGAATGGAATTTATAAGGATGGGGCTGTTCTACTGTCAGCCATTGTCACAGTCTCTTAGGATTCTGGAGCCAGATGGCGAGAGTTGTCGTCTTGAAGTATAGGTCTTGTGAGGGCTTCCTTTCTTCAATGGTGGTTTAGTTGGTGTAGAATGTGGTGTATGAGGTGAACTATGGGCCAAGGGAGGATCTCTAAATTCTCAATACCAGTCCGGTAGGTCAATACAAGGCAGCTGTAGGTTGGTGCAAAAGACTTGTAACTCGTCAGGTGTATGTAGGTAATATTGTATCCCCTGATGTGTGGTATTGAGAGCAAAAGGGAAGCACCATTTATATGGGATTCCATTACTTCAAAGTAACTCCAGAAGAGGGCGTAAAGCTCTTCTGTTATTTAGGGTAATGGGTGAGAGGTCCTGGAACAGGGTCACTGTATGTTCATTAAAAATAATCAAGTAATTTTGACAAGCCTTGATTAAAATCTCCTCTTTTAACCTCCTTTCCATCTGGCTCATTTCAATAAATGGCCAGACGGGAGCTCTGCCGATACGGGGGGGACGTTTCTAAAAGTCCCCCTGCATCCATTGCCTGTGCGCGCTCCCTGGGAGCAGGCAGCACCGCGATCGGTGCCTGCTGTTATAAACTAATTTGTTTTTTTACTAAAAAGATAGATGAATACATTTTGGTCAACATTTATGAAGAAAGATTATTTATTTACAAAATTTTATAAGAAAAACACTTTTTTTTTCAAAATGAGTAGAATTTTTCATTTATATAGCAAAAAAAAAAAAATCCCAGGGGTGAATAAATACCATCAAATTAAAGTTTTATCTGTCTCAAAAAAAATGCTAAAAAATTCATAATGGGTACAGTGTTGCATGACCGAGCAATTGTCATTCAAAGTGTGATAGCACTGAAAGCTGAAAATTGGCCTGGGCTGAAAGGGGATAAAAGTGTCCGGACTTGAAGTGGTTAATAATCTGAAAGGCAACAGATAATATCTCTCGGGGGTACATAATCAGCCGGGCAAGCTCTCAGGGCCCTATGAGCTCTATCAAATGAAATATGTGTGTCTGCCAGCCTCTCTAGGAGGTTATTGAATATCGACCGTAGGGCCGACTCTGTTTGATCAGATGTTATTGTCTCTACGCCTTAATGTTGTGTCTCCGTCCCCTGTTATAAGTGGCGAGGATCCAACCTGGTAATAGCCTTGTCCCTTCTTATGCCAGCTCTTTCCATGCCCGCCATCTTCTCTGACAGAGCCAAAATGTCTGCTTTCAGCTCAATTATTGCAGAGGAGAAAGTATTTTTAATGTCCGCTGCTCCATCCATCCTTGCTGCATGCCAAGCTATGCCCCCCCATTATGAATTTTTTTTTTTTTTTACACAAATAAAGCTTTCTTTTGGTGGTACTTAATCGCCACTGGGGCTTTTATTTTTTGCACTGTAAATGAAAAAAGAGCAAAACAATTTGAAAAAAAAAAAAGGTTTTCTTATAAAATTTTGCAAACAGGTAATTTTTCTCCTTCACAGATGTGTGTTGATGAGGCTGCACTGATAGGCAGCACTGATAAGGCGGTGCTGATGAGGCGACACTAGTGGGCATGAGGAGGCACTGATGCATGCACTGATGATGATGCACTGATAAGCAGCAATGATGGGCACTGCTGGGCAGCACTGACGGGTGGCACTGATAATCAGCGCCCTGATTATTAGTGCAGATCTCCCCTGTCACATTTTCCGGTTATTGGCAGTACTTTCCTCACGCTGTGACAGATGGAAGAAAGTGCTGCCGATAACTGGCAACTGTATTTACATTGTGATCTACTGTGTCATTGGACACCGCTGATCACAAAGGTAAAAGTCGCCGTGATTGACCTTTTACTTCATCACATGATCAGCTGTGTCCGTAGGACACAGCGATCACCGACAGCGCCGGGGGGCGCATTCTGGGAGGACGTCCATGGATGCCCTCCCAGAACTGGACAATCGCTCTGTACCCATCTTTCGGCTATAGCGGGGTTGGGAAGCGGTTAAAAAACATGAAAAAACATTAAAAGATCTTTAAGAACTATTGTACACATTTGGCGAATAAGTTAGTTAACATGTATCCCTTTGCTTATATTTTTCCCTTCTTTAAAGGACAGTGATGGGCTACTGCAGCGATGGCAGAGCAAGAACATGGAGAATGTAATTGAACTCCACAATAAGAGCCCTGTGTGGAATGAGGAAACACAATCCTATGTGCTCAACTTTCATGGACGTGTTACCCACCCTTCTATCAAGAATTTTCAGATTGTCCATTCTGATGATCGTAAGATTTACTGCTCTCTGACAGACTCTAAATGTAGCATAGTTAATATCTCAAAGGTTTCATACAGACTTTCATAATTGTTCCACATTTAGCATGCTCAGACAGATTTTTGTTAATATTAAAATTAATATTAACATTAATACAGCAAATGTATAACCTAGGAGAGGTTCTAACTGTTTCCAGCTCTGTCCAAAACAAACATTAGATGGACATATATTTTAATTAGCAGTCTGGGTAGCCAGAAAGGTGGGGGAAGCAAGTTTGCATCCCCCTTCTTTTCTGTTACAGATCAAGCCGCATGCTTTTCTACTGTGGGAGGAAGCTCTTTGCAAAGGGGGTGGCAAAGCCTCCCTCCCTTGCAAAGCACCCTTGTCCTAAAGGGAAAAGTACCTCTTCCCAACCTCTGATGTCCAATGAGAGAATTTTGGGTCCAAATGTACTAGACACAAAGACTATTTATACTGCACTAGTTACCATATAAAGGTCTATTATCTTCCAGTCCATTTTCCAAAAAAAGTGCTTTTTAACCTCGTATTCATACTTTTTACTCTGCTTCTCCCTCTCCTCTCATATCCAATCATCAGCTTGTTTGACACCATTCTTGAGCCCGTTCTGAGTGTTAAAATACATAACTATTCCCTTATCCATCGCCCTTAGCCTTGCTGGGTACACCATTGAATATTCTATCTTCTTTTCTCTCATCTTCCTTTTAAACATCATTGAAAGTTGCTCTCTGCTTCTGTAGATCCAGGGTAAAATCCAGAAAGATAAAGATCTTAATGTTTACATAATGCCTTGCTGTCTCACCTTTCTTAGTACCATATCACGATCCTTGCAATTTAACATATGTGCAAGCATTAGTCTGGGAGGTGCCCCTGGCTGTGGTGGTCTTGCAGGAACCTTGTGTGCTCTCTCCACCCGAAAATGCTAATGAAAATTCAGCCTCAAGAAATGTGCTTTTCAGCCATTTTTCAACAAAGGCACTTGGATTTTGTCCTCCTGTCCTTTCTAGTAATCCGATAATCCTGATATTGTTACGATGCACCCGATTCTCCAAATCATCCGCCTTTTGTTGCCACAATGTTAGTTGTCTTTCAGTATTTGATATATTCTTACTCATTGGAGATAGCACATCTTCCAGAAAGGATATTCAGTTTTCCACTTCAACTACTATTTGCTGGATTTATTGCATATCCTGTTTTAATCATCCAGTGTCTATTTTTATCTCATCCATTTTTCCTGATAGCATGATATTACTTGCTTGAATTGCTTCCATTAATTGTGCGTTTACTTGCTCCAATGTCATTTTTGATTGCTTCTATATTTTTTCCGCCTCAGAAGTATTTGAGGTAGAGAGCCTGCGTGTATCCCCTGTTGGTGGACCTCTACTCTGTGTCTGTGGGGGACTACGTCCGCCATCTTGCTTCTCTGCCCTCACGAATTCTTTGACCAACTCTATCACTTTATTTATTATGCTACCAGATTTTTACTGATTTAATTAGATAAATATACCAGCTTAATGAGTTCCCCAATATTAGTGAGGCACAATTGGTTGCGCCAGGATCCAGTAAGCTATGATTCAACTGAACAAACTACAGCAAAGTATTATAAAAACAGCAAGGCTCCACAAGGTAATCAGAAAATACCACAGAGCTTGGCAGGATATCATAGAGCAGAGTATTGTAAATCTTAGCAACGTGTTAAAAGGCACAGTAGGCTCAGAAAATTTCATAAAGCACAGCAAAGTGTGACAGAATTTGTAAAGCACTTCAGATTTCAAAAGGATACAGCTAGGCTCAGCAGAATATCATTGTAAAGAAGCATCACAAGTCTCAGCAGAATATTATAAAGCTTGGGCAGCTCTGCAAGGTTGTATAAACCACAGCAAAAATCTGTAGGGTTTGTAGAGTGCCCAGCAAGTTATTATAGTATCCTCCCTGCTCCATAGACCTGTCGAATCCTTCAGGCTGCACCACAAGGCCCACGCTAACTGCCTCCCTCCATGTCAGCAGAAGCCATGCCCTCTAAATACATGTTACCCAATACTTAGCGTAATTTTCCTTTCCTGGCCTATCCTCATGTCACTAATGGATAACTCCTCCTCCAGAGACCTCAGGACCACCTTCGCCTAGCCAGATAAATAGAGACCCTCCCTGCCATTCCATGTTTGAGGATTTAGCCAGTGACAGGCCACTAGAGAGGGAAGAAAATTGTGCTGATGTGAGGATAGGCCAGAAAAGGAAAATTACGGTAAGTACTCGGTAACAATTTTCAACTTTCCTGGCCTACCTCACATCAGAACTAATGGGATATAACATAGTTAATCCAGGGTAAGAAAAGAATGAATGCCTCAAAAATATGCTGTTTCAAAAGAATTTATTTTTGTTGGAAAGGCTCTGACACCACTGATGCCCCAAATCTTGTCAAACTGGGCGAGACTACGTCCAACTTGTAATGCCAAACAAAGGTTTTGCAGGAGTCCAGCTGGCCATCAATTGATCCACTAGCTGATTTTGGTTGCCTGGGAGATGTTGTAGCAAAGGTAGACTTCTGGTGCCCCCTTATTGAGCTATGTAGGCCACCGCTGTTCAATTGTCCAACATTAACTTGACTTGTGACCCTCAAATCAAGTTCTGAAATGGAGAGAAGGGCCATGAAGGCTGCCTGTAACTTCAGGAGACTGGAGTGTTTGGATTCCACAATGTGCCACCTGGCTTGAACTCGCCTCCCGACGCCAGCCCCCCCCCCCCCCCCCCCCTGGCATCCAAAGTCACCAATATCCAGTCTCAGGGACTAAGGGCATGCCCAAGAGAGGCTCTCTGGCGACGCTCACCAAGCCAGACTCTGGTAGATTCATTTAGATAAAAAAGATCTTCTGGTCTAACAAAAAGCCTTCCCACTGGTTTAGGAAGGAGACCTGGAAGACTCTCATGTGAAATCTTGCCCAGAAGACTACCGTAATTGCTGTCATGGACATGTCTTGGCATATCTTACAATCCCTTGCAGAAACCAATCAATCAAGAAACTTGAGAAACTAGGCCTTCTCAGGTATTGAGTATTATGCCAATTGATTGCCTGTGTCGGTGTAAGCTGGCTTTTCTGTCTGGTTATCAGCCGGCTGAAGCGATTTAAGGCCAACTCCTCACTTGAATGGGCAATCACCAGATAATGGAATATTTCTAGCTTCAATAGACAAATGACTGCAATAACTGCTAGCAAAATGTTTGAGAAAACTTGGGGCACTGCGCATATTCCAGAAGATAAGTATGTGAACTGGTAGCGCTGTTTTGCTACCACAAATCTTAGATACTTTTGGTGATGTTTGTTGACCACTACACCACATCTGCTATATCGATAGATATTAACTAGTGCCCTGGTTGCACTGTTGATATGATGGTATATAGCAACTCCATCTTGAATCTTTTTGGCTTTGGATTAGTGATTTCAGGATCCAGAACCGCCTGAGACCCTCAATGCTTTGGGCACCAAAACTGGAGACAAGACTCCTTTCTTTTACTGACTTGGAGGTATGAGAGAAATGGCATTTTTTTGATGTAGCTCTGTCACATATTCTCGCAAGAATTTTCACTTCTCTTGATTGTTTGGCCACTGTGTTTGTTTGAATCTATTTTTCTGGTGATTTCTTGTGAAAGATTATTCTGTATCCTTACTTCACAGTTTTCTGGACTCAGCGGCTAGTCTGGCCTCCACTGGGAGGAACTGGATGGGCATCCTATCAAAAGGATTTTTCTGCCTTTTTGGCCACCTACACAGCTTAGATTTAACACATCATAAAAAAGGAAATTTGTGTTCCTCTCCACTGAGTTCTAGTATATTCGTGGCCTAGTCTGTACGAATCTGGCCTCTCATGCTCTTCTAAATTTAGACTGGTTTCAGCAAAAAGGTTGCTGCTTTTTTCTATTTACTTGAGGAAGTAGGCCTGAATTTGACGGAATGCTCCATAAATCTTGCCAAAACTCTAACCAGATCTATAGATGATTCTGAGCATCGGTGGAGGGCTTTGTTTGTTAGGTTCGTTTTCAGAACAGCTTGCATTAGACAAAAGCTGAATACTCTGGGCCACTGCTTTGTGAATATGGGTTTTGACACACCTACCTCTTTTGTCTACGGCCATATCTTTAATGTTATCCACGCATAACAATTTCTCCGGCAGGGATGTGGCAGAACAAGCCAAACAGAGGCCCTGAGATGGCCGACCTTCATTTCCTACAAACTCCATGGCTGGTGTTCTACTGCAGCCTGAACTATTTGGTGAGTGGAAACCGATGTTTTGAGTGTGGTGAAAATGAGCGATGATTTCACTTTTCCTTTTGTGAGTTCTTTCTTTTAGGGCTTCTGGTTTTACAAAATCCAGACACAATCATTAATATAGTGTGCAGCACCCTTTTAACAAACATCCCACGTAGCCCTTTCTTACCTCTCTCTGGATTTTCGTGCCTTTGATAACTGTGATGAGCTCATGGCTGAAAGGTGACAGAAGGAAAGCAAAATTTAGCCTCATGCAAGCTCAGCAACAGAAAATCTTTTTTAGGGTACTGGCTGTTCCAAAGTGCTGCCATACTTACTGCAGAGGAATGCAGGTCTTTCTCAGCAGGATGGCAGCCAGGCGGACCAGACCCAGGGGAATCTGAAGCTGAGGCTGTATTAGGCATTAGGAGCCTGTAAGTTGTGTGTTTACTGGCTCTGCTGTTGATTTATGCTCCTTGTCTATATCAGTTCCTTACCTTAGCTTCAAACAGCGGAGCTGACCGTGCTTCTGGCTTTTAGCTAGGCGTTGGGCTGTAGCACCCACCTGTGACATCAGACTTGAGATGGAACAGTAGAGTGGTTGGCGCAGTTCTTTAAGGGAAACAAACAGGAGGAAGGAAAACATAACTAGAGCAACAGCTGTCCACCGCAGTAAAATTAATATATGCTATTTAAGCACTTTGCCTGCACACAGGGCATCCAATTTTAGGAGGATTTACCTCCATCATTCTGGACCCTCCAACCCCAGGAGAGGCTGAACCTGGAGGGTGGGAAGTTCAGTAGTGGGGATGGATGTAGAACAGGATTTAAGTAGGTGGTATGGAGTCTGTGACCAAAAAAAAAGAACATGGAATAGGGGGTCTTTTTTTTCTGGCTAGGACAAGGTGGTCCTGGAGGTTCTGGAGGAGGATTTAACCCATTAGTGCTGACGTGAGGTAAGCCAGGAAAGTTATTGCGGGCCAAGTTGGCTCAAACAAATTATTTCCATTTCAGAATGATGTGGTTTCTGGATGTACTGTAATGGACATCCTGTCTTCTGCCAGATATAAAGAGAGTTGGGCTTAGTGCTTCTTTTCTCTTCACAGGAACTCTTGTATATTTTGCATACCATACCATAATATACAATTATGCATACCAAACCACACCATGAGATTATGAAGCTTTGTGAGACCATGAATCTTGATTCAAATCATGAATTTCATATTGTAGCTACATCAAGACTTAAACTATAATGTAATTGGATCAATGCTGAAAGTCAATGATATACTTGGCAAAAAAGTTTTTAATCTGCTTCTCTTTTCTTTTTACAGTTGATTATATAATCATGCAGTTTGGTCGCGTAGCTGACGATGCATTCACAATGGACTACAAGTACCCCATGTGTGCAGTTCAAGCTTTTGCTATTGCGCTATCCAGTTTTGATGGAAAATTAGCATGTGAATGATGAGTAAAGAACCTTATACCTGTACATGTGATACTAGAAAATATTTATAATAAAAAGGAAAAAAAAAAGAGTCATGCTAAAGGTGTTTTCTTATGTTCTCATCTTAGACAAAATCTATTTTTATATAAAGAAACGAAATTAAGACTGCATGAAAGTGTATTCTATATGACAACCTAAAAGAATAACTACTTAAGTACTAACCTGTTCCAGGTTATTTTTCAGTTTTCATTGCTTTGATATTTTAAATGACAGTCATACAACACTGGACCCAAATTAATGTTATATCATTTTTTGAGACAGGTATTCAGTGGTTTTTAATAACTGCTGACTTTTTATTTGTTATTATATAAAACCATTGTTTGTTATGCCAGTTTTTTACTGCTGGCACTGTGCCCACAGAAGCTGAGGTCTTCTAAACGCTGCCATAACCGCTTTCCATCCAGCTCATGTATGGCTGGACAAGATGCATGCTGATTTGGGTGGACATACCCGAACTTCCCCCTGCATCAGAGGCTCATGGGTAGCAGCTCACAGAGCGTGCATCTGATGGTCGCTGTGTCCACTGGACACAGCAGATCACATTACCACTGTGTCTTGGGTGATCACATGATCTTGTACCCTGTTATTGCTGTGCCCAATCACAGCTTTCACATGGTAAACAATGGAAACCGAAAGTAAACATCTGTTCTCTCTGCTCTCACAGAGAGAACTGTTGGTGCAGCCTGTGAGTGTACAGCAGCCTGTCACACTGCATGTGTACTCACAAAGTGCAATGCCAACCTGCCCACAGTGTAATGCTATAAAAGAGTGCACCCAGCCCCGCTGTCCCAGGGTCTCCAGTCATACCCCATACCAACGTCCTTGTCACTGCCATACCCCCATAACAGCATCCTGATCACTACCATTCCTCATACCATTGTTCTGATCACCACCATACCCCATACCAGCGTCTTAATCACAGTCATATCCCATACCAGCATTCTGATCACTGCCATATGCCATACCAGCATCCTGATCACTGACATACCCCATACTAGTATCGTGATCACTGCGATACACCAAACCTGCGATCTGATCACCACTTTACCCCATACCAGCATCCTGATCACCGCTATACCAGCATCCTATCAGTGTCAGCAGAGGCAATTATTGTGTGTCAGTGTCAGGTGTCCCCAATTATTTCCCCTGTCCTGGTTCTCCAGGGCCTCCACAAATGTAATAGATTGTCAGGAAAACATGTGCGTAATTTATGCCCATAGGACACCTTAAGATGTCATGCCCCTCTGGGGGGCTAGGCTATGAAAAAGTCTCACACGTGATATCCTGAAACTTCAGAGGAGTAGCAGAATGTGTTAAAGGGTGTAATTCTAAGTATGCCCATGTTATGTGTGAGAAGTATCATATTAAATTGAAAACTTTGTGTAAAATAATTCATTTTCTTTAAACATTTTCCAAAATCTTGTGGCAAAAAAATCAAGTATAAATAAAGGCAAAACACTTTTTTTAAACTTAACAGAGTGAAGAGGGATTAGAACACTTGTCAATTTTTATTGCTGTCTGTGCCCCCATAAGAAGATTCACCTTATCAGTTTGTTCTGTTTACCATTATCATTGAAAGTGAAAGTAAAAGAAAATACCAAATGTTGGGTTGTCCCGAGAAAAGTAATAGAGGGGAAATCTTTCAATAGGGACACTAATTCTGGTGACCTGGGGTCCCCAGGGAATTCCCTAATTTTGCAGGGATTTCCTTTCACTTTATGTTTGGCTCTGGGACAATAAGTAAATCTCCCCTATGGGACATACTGTAGATGGTGAAAAAAAAAATCTGACCGGGGTTAAACCCTCCCTTCTTCTCCAAAAATGGAAAAAAAATGTTTGCCTATAGTTCTACTTTAAAGTGTTAAGTGCTTTTTTACACAAAGTTGTCATTTAAATGATTTATTTCTTGCACAAGCCATGGGTATGTGTGGAATTACACCTCCAAATACATTCTGCTACTTCTACTGAGTATGGGGATACCACGTGTGAGACATTTTGGGAGCCTAGCCACATACAGGAGTCTGAAATCCAATGACCACTTTGAAAGTCTGAAGGTGTGTAATTTCCTCATTACATTTCCTCACTACCTATCACATTTTCGAAGGCCCTGACATGCCAGGATAGCCCCAAACCCCCCCAAATGACCCCTTTCTGGAAAGTAGACACCCCAAGGAATTTAAAAAGAGGCATGTTGAGTATTCTGCAGATCTCATTTTTTTTCTCACAAGGTTTTGAATATAAAAAAATAGAAAAAATATGTTTTTGGTTTTTTTCTTCATTATCCAAAAACTTGTGGTAACAAATGAGATCTTCAAAATACTTACTGTGCTTTTTATCAAATTCCTTGGGGCGTCTACTTTCCAAAAAGGGGTAATTTGGGGGGGTTAGGTGCTATCCTGGCATTGCAGGGCTCCGAAACTGTGATAGGTAGTCTGGAAGTGTAATGAGGAAATAAAGCCCTTTAAAAGCCTGAAGGTGCTTATTGGATTTTGGGGTCCTGTACTTGGCTAGACTGCCAAAAAGTCTCTCACATGTGGTACCCCCATACTCGGGAGAAGTAGCAAAATGTATTTTGGGGAGTAATTCCACATATAACCATGGCATGTGTGTGAGCTTTAAATCATTTAAGTGACAATTTTGTGTAAAAAAAAAAAAAAAATTATTTTTGTCATTTTCCAAAAACTTGTGGTAAAAAAATAAATTCTTCTATTGATTCAACATTCCTCTTAGCAAATAGTTTGGGTGACTACTTTCCAAAAATGGGTCATTTGGGGGGGGGTGTTTTATGCCCATCATTAGAAGTTTATGCCACACATCATTCACTCTTCTAACCACCTGAAGACCAAGCCTTTTTGTTCACATGAAAAAAAATCAGTATTTTTTGCTAGGAAATTAATTTAAAAACCCCCAAACATTATATATTTTTTTAAAGCAGACACCCTAGTGAATAAAATGGTGAGTACTAAAATTTTTTTATGGCACATAGTACTCGCGCAGCGATTTTTCAAAGCAATTTTTAAAAATAAAATACACTTTTTTACTTTTAATGCACAAAAACACATTATATTGGCCAATTGTTTGGTAAAAAATATAAAAGATAATGGTATGCCGAGTAAATAGATACCAAACATGACATGCTTTAAAACTACGCATGCCCATGCAATGGCGACAAACTGCAAACATTTTTTAATATCCATAGGCAGCACTTTAAAAGCCTTTAAAAGCCACCATTTTAGATTTACAGAGGAGGTCTAGTGTTAGAATTACTGCCCCTTGATCTGACGTTCATGGCAATACCTCACATGCATGGTGCAACCGCTGTTTACATAACAGCACAGGGTCAAGGCTTGTGCACACAGGTGTGCGCGCATGGGAGGGGCAATTTTTCTTTTTTTTTTTTTTAGTTATTTTTATTTTTTTTTTATTTTTTACATTGTACCTTTCATTTTTTTTTTTTATCACTTTTAATGCTATAACAGGGAATGCAAATAACCCCTATAAACTTCAATGGGCATTGTCATATTCTTTTTTGAGAAATCTGGGCTCTATCAGACACTAGATATCTCCTCTGCCCTTACATTATCTAATCAAACCAAAATCGGTGTGATCAGATGCTTTCCCAATTTACATGATTGGCACCATTCTGGTCTCCAATCAGCTCTATGGTGAGCTGGCAGAAACACCGGCTGCATTCTCAGGTTCCCCTGATGGCACGGGACTGCCCGAGAAGGCCGTGGAAGGCAGAGGGGGAGGGGGGACATCATCTCCCACTGCTGGTAAAAGCAATCTTGCAGCTAATTAACCACTAGGATTGCTTTTACATGAAAGCCAATCACCGGCTGAAAAAAAACGATACCAGGATGATGCCTGCTGTAGGCATCATCCTGGTATAACCATTCAAATCCAGTGATGTACCAGTACATCGCTGGTCCTTGTTGGTTATATATGCTATGTTCTTTTTTTTTTTTTTTTTTTTTGTATGCAGCCAGTGGACTGAAAGAAAAATGAGAAGAAATCTCTGCCAGAAAAAGTGTGTGGTATGCCCACCATTAGAATATACCACCCTGCTGTGTTACTTTAACTGACAATTGCGCGGTCATGCAACACTGCACCCAAAAAAAAATCAAATTTTGTCACAAATTTCATCCAAAATGCATTGTGCGACATGTCTCTGCTAAAAAAAAATCCCAATATGTGTAAATTAATTGGTTTACATGAAAGTTATAGCGTTTACAAATGGCGGGAAAGATACTGGGATTTTTAATTTTTTTTTATACTAATAATGGCGGCGATCAGCGACTTATGGCGGGACTGCGGCAGACATTTTGACACTGGGGGGGGAACTGACTTGGGGTCACTGACACCAATACAGTGATCAGTGAAAAAAAAAACCCACTGACACTGTACTAATGGCACTGGGGAGGAAGGGGTTAACATTTTTAGTGTTAACTGTGTGAGGGGAGTGTTTTACTAGGGGGCGGGGGTGTGTGCTGGATGGGTACAGGCTGATTGAGAGAGAGAAACTCTTCTCTCCCTCTTCAGCTTGTCACGAGCTGACAGGCAACTGACAGATAGCAGGGCTGTGTATAAACAATGCAGCCCTGCTCTCTGTCAGCGATCACCGCTCATCGCAGGGAAACGGCCAGTAATGACCAGCCGTGACCCGGCGGCGGAGACCCGCTGCTGACACCCGCGGAACAGGTAGGGCCGGCGCGTGCCTCGCACACGCCCCCTACCTGTTTTGCAAAACCACGTTTTAAAACGTGGTTTTGCGCAGCCGTGCCGCCCTGCAAACGTACATATGCAGTGGCTGTGGCTGAAGAAGTTAGTAAGCTCAGAACAGGTTTATTGTAAATTGCAATATGTGAAAAAGGGTGAGGTGTGAATTAGGATATCCCCAAAACACAACAGTCTCAAACACCAATCCCTTCTATGTCTCTTACTTTTAATAAAGAGAGATC